CCGAGCAGCTGTCTTTCCCTTCCACTCCACTGCTCAGTCGAGGTGCCCGTTTTCCCTCACCCGGACCTTGGACCTGAACCGCCCCATTGCTCTGACCCCCTCCTAACCCACCCCAGCTCCTCTACTCTCTGCCTCCCTCACACGACTCCTTGATGTTTCTCAAACCAGCCAGGATGCTCCCCAGACATCTGTGCAACTTGTTCCTTCCCCTCTTTCCATTCTTGGTGCAACTGTCACCTTCTCAGTATGGCCTTCCCTGTCGCTCTATTTGAAGTTGCAACCCCCACCTTCCCAGCCCCTTCCCCTGCTCTATGTATTGCGCAGCGCTATTGTCATCGAGCATACTACACTGTATTTTACCTATTTATTCTCTTCACTGCCTCCGTCTCTCCACTTGAACAGAAGTCCCATGAGGGCAGGGAGTTTTGTTTACTGCTGTGTGACCTGGCCCTAGAATAGTCCTCTGTTCTGCAGGGATATTCCTAAACACTGCTGAGCCAAGGCTCTGTGCCGGGGAGGGGCTGGGCCCAGACCAGTGTGAGCCACCAGCCGCCCTGTCCTCAGGGGTTTCACAGACAGAACAAGGAAGTATATACCAAGTCTCAAATCAGCAACATGCTACGAGGGCTCCAGGGCAGGAGCCATGAGGCTAGGCAAGGGTGTTACTGAGAATGTGAAAGAATCTGATTTTTAAGACAATGGAATCAGAATCTATAAATGATTGCTTCCTTAGCGCTCCAAAGAAAATGATTTAGCATGAATCAGCTTGCCAGTTCCGTGTAAACACCAACACCTATTACCTTTTCTGAGAATTCCTAAGCTTGAAATGACATTTTCAAAGGACTGAAATAACACATAGCCCGTCTGGAGAAAAAGATGAGGGTTTGTGTTGTGAATAGGGTGAGGATACCACATGTGCCTTAACAACATTATCATTACGTGATCATCACTGGGTGACTCCAATCAGAATGCCGGCGGAATTCTCACACTCAGTAATTCTGCCTGGACACAACTCCCACTTAGAGCACAAAAATCCTTCCTTATATAAAATTACATATTGAAACATTATATTTAAGTGACTTGAGGATTAGACTGTGGGGTACAAAACAAAATGATTAATTCCTTCCACTTCCCTTTTAAAAATAATGAATACTACAACAGAGGCCAGTATTGGTTTGGACAGAGCATGTTATCAAAACACTTGAATCTCCCTGGACTCTAAATTATAGGCTGGACACCAAGCAGAACAGTGAAAGAAACACAGCATGAGAGACTTTATTTTATAAGAAAAAATTAATTTTCTCATAATAAAGTTAACCAGATTTATCTTAAAATAACATCTATTAAGTACTTATTATATGCCAGCCACAGAATTGGGTATTTTCACATTATCTTAATCTATTCTAACAATGAATGAGGTAATGACGAATAGCCCCATTTTCCAGATAAAGAAACTGAGGACTGCACAGAAGAAGCAATTTGTCTAAACAGTAGGGCCTGATAGTGCCAGAATTCAAATGCAGGACTCTTGACTCCAGGCTCTGTGCTTTCTACCGCACTACAGAAGCAGGAAGAAAGCTTGTAAGAAATGTAACGAAAGCAATGAAAATGTTCCTAATGGTATTTTAGTAAAGGCCTCTCCTGTGAAAATACAAGATATTATTTTCAGGATCTTGTAGGGTTTCACAGAAATTAACAAAGATGGTCACCTAACTACTCAATCCCTTTATCATGTGAATAAGAATTTGAGAAAGGTTTGGTTCTCAGCATTTCCTTGTCCGTGAGAAGAATTAACTTCCGCATCTAATAAATAAAGATGATCTTTAACTGCATTTCCCCTAAAATGTTGTATCTTGAAAAATCAGAGGCTTTAAGCTGGCTCATAAGAATCTTTGCCCCATTTCAATAACCAAAATATTTTAAAGTGTCAGGGCTGCTGCATTATAGCAGGGACCAAACATTTCAATGGCTGCAATTAAAAGATGACATTTCTGGCTGGGCACGGTGGCTCACGCCTGTAATCCTAGCTCTCTGGGAGGCCGAGGTGGGTGGATTGTTTGAGCTCAGGAGTTCGAGACCAGCCTGAGCAAGAGCGAGACCCCGTCTCTATCAAAAATAGAAAGAAATTAATTGGACAGCTAAAAATACATAGAAAAAATTAGCCGGGCATGGTGGCGCATGCCTGTAGTCCCAGCTACTTGGGAGGCTGAGGTAGTAGGATCACTTGAGCCCAAGAGTCTGAGGTTGCTGTGAGCTAGGCTAACGCCATGGCACTCACTCTAGCCCGGGCAAAAAAGTGAGACTGTCTCAAAAAAAAAAAAAAAAAAAGATGACATTTCTTCAGGGTAGTTAGTAAACTTAACAGTTTTTTCTTCTTTACAGGCCACATGCAGAAAACTCCAGAAGGGAGGCTGCATGAGAGTGCTTGTGATTTTTCTGCATCAATGAAGACAGTTATAAAATAAACTCTTCCTATAACTCAGGGGCTTATGGAGAGACTCAGTGCCACTGTTATTGTAGGTCGCTGGAATTTCATTGCTGGTTAAACAAATGAGCCCTTGCAGACTACACAGAGGTCTGACTTTCCACTCAGGCCCAGCACACTCTGAAGAAGAGGAAAAGAGAAGGACCCCAGCAAGTGGCTGTTGATGGGCACACTGGGGTAGCCTAGGCTTGAGACTTCTCAAACGAGAAGTGAGAATCGGACTGCCTTGTATTGGGACTGCCCTGAGTTGGGACTACCCTGCGTTGCTATCTGGAAGAGGAAATGTCCAGGAAGATTTCAGCTGTGCACTTAAAAATTTTTCTTTTGGTATTTTATTTTTATTTTATTTATTTATTTAGAGACAGTTTTGCTCTCTCATCCAGGCTAGAGTGCAGTGGCATCATCATAGCTCACAGCAACCTCAAACTCCTGGGCTCCAGGGATCCTCCTGCCTCAGGCTCCCAAGTAGCTGGGCCTACAGGCATGCACCATGACACCTGGCTAAGTTTTCTATTTTTGTAGAGATGGGATCTCACTCTTGCTCAGCTTGGGCTCGAACTCCTGGCCCCAAGTGATCTTCCTGCCTCAGCCTCCCAGAGTGCTAGGATTACAGTGTGCGCCACAGTGCCCAGCCTTACAATTTTTAAATGGTGGTTTTCGTTTCTGGAGAAAAGTACCCGAATCAAGCTCCCAGGGCTCGTCCCCATTAAAACTGGAGGAAAGTGCCCATCTGAGACCAAAGGTGATATCTAGCAAAACAGGCATGTAATCCTTCTTGACCAGGAAGGATTATGCAGCTGGTTCCAAAGGCCGGGGAACAACTGCTCAGAATCTTTCCACACCAGCCTCTAGTGAATCAGTGCACTGAGCAGTGGTGTGCAACACTTGGTTAACAAGTGAGTATCTCTGGAGAGCCCCAGGGTCAAAAAGGCAGGATTATTGCATTTCCATGGGGAATTGGGAGGGAGACACAAGCCAACTTACACCCCCAAAGTCTTTAAAAAAGAGATTCAGCAATTAATTCTGGATACTTATCACTAGGAAAACAAACAAGGCCATCTCTTCTCTTTGGCTAAAAAGAAATCAAATAGCTCTTTGTAGAGTCTGCTATTTAAATGTGATGGGGCAAGATGAACCTTCCCTATAAATTCCCAAAGCCACTTGGCACTTCTTGGGGGTAATAGTCAACACTCGCTTCTCTACTCTCCTTCTCCTCCCACAAATGGCTCTGCCAAGGCAATTCTGGACGTTATTTATTTACTAGAAACCTGACTTTTCGTTGCACAAGGTTCTGGACAATCTGACCCTAAGGATTCCATTAACTTTCAATGGTGGTTTTCCAGGAGGGGGGAGTAATCCGAGGGGGAGAAGGCAACACCAAATATTCTGAGATTCAGAAGTGGCAGCTGGAGAGGAAGGTGCAAGAGGCTGCCCTCACCTGCCTTTCCAGCAAACCCAGCTGCAGTTTCCAAAGGGAAGGTGGAGCCTGCCAAGGAATCCACATTGCCCAGAGTGTGCGTCAGCCCTCACCTGCTGGGAGTCCCCACCTGTGTGAGCTCATATGGAAAGAGACAGACATGGCTCCAATCGCAAAGAAGTGCATCCCGGGGGCCCAATTTGGAAAACAGACAACCTTGGCAGAAGTTCAGAATCCAAATACGAATAACTCATACCTCTGAGCAATGAATGGCTCAGACATCCTCCTAATCCAGTGATCTGCCAGAGGTGAATCACTTAAATACACCCTTGTTTAAAAACAGGCTAGGATGGCTTAAAAATTACTTTTAATAGAAAAACAACGTGGAGAGCAAGGAAGCTAAGGAGGAGAGGGGGCCATCTGAGTTCTCTTAGCCCTCTTCCCCTGTGACCTCCCGCTGGCCACAATGGCACGCCCCTGAATGCAGGCACGAATCTGTCAGCTTTTCAGAACCCGGGTCCAGGCAGTTGGCACTCGCCGCGTGGGAAGACACCTTTCCAGGCACTGCCCAGGGCGAGCGGCGGTAACATCCCTAGCCTGTCTACCCCGGGGACACGGTCATCCCGAGGCCAAGGTGCCTCTTCCAGTGTCCGACTGAGAACTGAAATCCACATACAGTCTGTCGGGGCAGCGTTGTTCAGGAAAAAAAAAAAGTGGAGGGGGAGCAGATAGGATTAAAAACAAAATTAAACCCTGTTTGTTTCCAAATGGGCAGAGCCTAGAGCTACTTGCTTCCCTTTCCACCTTCCTGCCCATTTCCACCTTCCAAGATCATTTTGTGTAAAGCAGAAACCAGCAGCTCGTGGAGCACCCAAGTGGGAGTCCGGGAGGAGCTTTGTTCTTCGTACGCAGTAATTAACGCGCTTGGGGGGGAACCCCCGCCGGGGGGTCCAAGGCCAAGGCCGAGGGGCCGCCGAGGGATCCGGGCATCGCGAGCGCCAGCGCCAAGCCCACCCTCGCACCCGCGCGCCCCGCACGCGGCCTGGGCGCTGGGCGCGCGTGAGGGTGCGCGCATCGCCCACCCGCTGCGCCGCTCACCTAACACCACCGCGGCCACGGTGGAGAGCAGCAGCCAGTTATTCTTCAGGAAGCGCTTGCAGTCACATCGCTTCCTCGCCGGCTTCCCCATGGCGGGCGCCCGGGCTCGGAGCCGCCGCCGCGGTCGCCGCTATTGTGCACGGGGCTCGGGAGTGCGCTCGTGGGCGAGGGGACACGGGGACGGCGGGCAGCTCCGCGGCGCAGTGGAGGTGGGATGCAGGAGCACGGGGGAGAGGGTGAGCGTTGGCTGCCGCTGTTGCGGCTGCTGCAGCTGTCACCGCCGCTGCCGCCGCCGCCACCACCTGGGGTCGCGCACCGCTCCTGCCGCCCTGCTAGCCCGGTGGCTTTGCGTGGCGGGCGCGCCCGGCTCCTCCTGCCGCCGCCGCGCTCTGCGGCGCCCGGGCCAACCAGCGAGAAAGGAGGGAGGAGCGGCGGGCCCAGGGAGGCGGGTGGGTGCGTGCGTGGGGCGCCGGGGTCCCGGCGGAGCAGGCGTGGGAGGGCGCCGAGCGCTGCGGCTGGAGCGGGGGTGTCCCCTCTGGGAACCCTGCGCCCGGCTCCACAGCCTTCAGCTGGAGTCTGTGTCGCTTGTCCCCGCACGCCCCTACCGCGTGTTAGGTCTTCGGATTTCAGGTTTTCTTCTGCCCCTAATCCAGAGGGGCGGAGCCACTGCCATGGTTGGCGTGGACTTCATCCTGCAACCTCCCTCTTCTTTTTCCATACCAGCCATTCCCAGTGCCAGCACCAGGAGAACGCAGCGTCCTTTCGAGTTGGGGGAAACTGATTCTACCTTGGGTCCCTCTTGCTCTTCTGCACAGGCTGGGATTTGCCAGCAGCCACGAAAGCCTGAAGCCTCAGGGAGCAGGGAAGGAAAGAGTACTGGGGCAGGACAGGACTTCGGGAAGTTTCACACAGATCCTCTAATCCCATGGGGATTATTAACTCTTCTCTCGGAGCCCCGGGAGGTGATTTGTCTGTGGACACTGGGCTTGCAATGTGCCCTGCATATGGAGGTGATGATCCTTCTCAGAACTTCACTACTGCTTCTTGTGACTAACTCTGTGGCCGCCACAGGCCTCAAAGTTTTGAGACTTTGTTGAGTAATTAGGACTGAGAACCTACCCGGCTGGTCTGGGGAAAAGGTGGGCGGGCCCATCCCTAAGGCCAAACGCCTTGGAAAGGCAAACCCAGGAGAGTGGGAGAAACTAGGTTAGTGATGCCACATAGATTCTGCGTAGCTAAGTGAATTTCCTCTCTTCTATTTTTCTACCCAATTTCTCCACCCTTCCTTATACAAACTCTTTCCCTCTTCCCTTTATCACATTAGCACCTCAACAGCTCTAAGCTAGCTTCTCATCCGCTTTTCTAAAATTAAGTGAGCCCTGCACATTTTTTGCTACGGTGGAGTTTACTTTCTGATTTGGGGGTAGGGAGAATTTCCTCGACTAGATTTTCTAGTAAGTAAAACCCTGTAAATAGAGCTTCGTTCCTTTGGTTTAAATTGATACAAGTATCCTTGAAGAGATAATAAAATTAAGCTTTATCATACACTTTAGTATGAATGAGTTTATCAGCTCCTTTCCAGAAAGTAAACTTTGAGAGACAGAAGGGTGGAAGGATATCAATCAAGGTCATTGGGTGTCTGAGGCAGATTTGAAGAAATGTCAGAAGGGGGGAAACCATCAAGAAAGAAAAGATAGGCCGGATGCGGTGGCTCACGCCTGTAATCCTAGCACTCTCGGAGGCCGAGGTGGGTGGATCGCTCAAGGTCAGGAGTTGGAGACCAGCCTGAGCAAGAGCGAGACCCCCGTCTCTACTAAAAATTAGAAAGAAATGATCTGGACAACTAAAAAAATATATATATAAAAATTAGCCAGG